AAAAAACAATTCGGAGTTGCAGCCAGCTATCCCGCGGAATGCTTGGTCCTACCATTGTGCAAACCGTCCAATAGCATATTCAGACTCTCCCAAGCTGTTGTTTTCTCCTCAACATGACCCGGCAGCCTGACTGGCCTGCAACACCACTTGCATGTGGCAGCCAACCTGCAAAGAAAGCGCACAAAGGTGTTCCAACAGTTGAGAATTCAGCGTTTGTGCATTGAGAGTTGCCACATGCCGGCACATTGTCATGAATTGTCATTATGTTGCTGGAACTATATAGTGTCATTTTGGCGCAAGGTGCTGACTTCAGTAGCAGGTCTCCAGCTTTCTAGAAGGTGGAATGGAGTCCGCCAATGCTTTCGATGCATCAAATGCTCTTGTGCCTGCCCCTACAAGAACATGGTCTTGCGACACACTGCTACGAGCTAGCAGCTTCCTAGCAGACCAGCAAGCGCAACACAAGGGGCAAATGACTGGGAAGGATGCGATTGCAGCTACTCGAAATCATACCAGGGCGAGCTTCTTGAAGTGTGCCACTAGAACCATTCCTTTCCCATGTTCTCTATAAGGCTGCCAAAAAACGTTTGGCATCACTTTCGGTTGCATCCCCTACCACCACGCCATCCCCAAAGCATTCGAGAACAACCCCATCGCCTTCGGTGGCTTCTTCGTCGGAGCCAAAGCCCTCGCCTTCCAAGTCAGTTCACTCGCAGGACAGGTTTGGGTTGTTGGTCTGGGATTTTGAAATGTATTCAGGGTGTTCTCAGCCTGTGGCTTCATTGTACAGGGTCTTTTCTTTTGGGTCTCGTGTTTGCTTATATAGGGATGCTTGCCGAGTATACTTGATAGCATTTCTTCTTCGACAATCTGGGTGCTATAAATCCTATGGGTAATTCTATTTATTACCTACGTGGGTGAGTCTTTAAACTGATGGCTTGCTCTGCCCACTGCATTCTCCCAGCCCTGGAAATACCCGCCTGTATCCATGACCCTAAACATTGCAAACCTGTTTCCTTTTTCTTCAGGACCCGAGCAAGAAGACTGATGATGAATCTGGGATGCCGGAGGTGTCTTGGAAACACAACCCATTGCAGGGACTGCGCAATGTTCTCACATTAGACCATGAAAGCATTCGATTCGTATAACTCATTCTGGAGCAATATATGGTAAAAGAAAGCACTGTCGTGACTGCAGGCCCCAAGAGTTGCGAAGCCAGTGCAGAAGACGGCCCTAGCAACATGGTTTAAACAAGAAGGTTGGTGGGTGTGCGGGTGTGCTGCGTGGCCTTCACTTCTTGGGGCTCAGCTAAGGCAAAACCAAGCAAGGCTGGGAAGACAACCCATCAGTTGTGGCTGGCCAAGCTTGACAATACCCTTCGAAGGATGTGTACCCCTTCGGGCCGCTTTGGCAAGTTGGAAGTGTCCCCTGAAGTGCGGGCGCAGTGGCTTAAGGGTGGAGCCCCAAGAAAGCACTTGATGAACATCTTGGTCAAGGCGGACGGTAACAAGGACTGGACAAATTGCAGTACTTGACACTATATAGAACCCTTCAGCCCTGAATGCCTTATGAATACCATTCCTTTCCTGCAGGAGCTCTTCAAGAAGAGGGTGGAGCATATTAGAACAACATCCCGGAGCAAGGGTTTGATCATAGAGTCTGGGTGGTACACGAAGAAAGCCATGAAAGACGAGCTTGGCTGGGATAAGCTCCTCGTCTATTATCTATACAATCGCTTTCCTGAAAGTATCTTCTCAGTCATTTCTTCTAAAGTTCTATCGCGCTCAGGGACACCATCAAGGGGGCGGTGGCCTACTGCTCTTCGAAGGAGCGTGTGAAGACGCATGTTCGGCACCTCGGCGCGAGCTCTCACTGGCTTTCTAGCATGCACACATGATGGATGTAGCTTGTTCTTTCAGCTCGGAAACCAATCTGCTGTTATGGGGAGTTTGCCACTGCAGGAGATCCAAGTACAACCGGAAGGTGCTCGAATATTGGGTCGACACCAAGACCATCGGCAAGTTCACCGCTACCGAAAGCGAGGAAATCAAAGACTCTACGATTGCTGAAGGGGAGGCTGACGGTTTCGTGCTTGGCCTTGAACCAGGGGAGCCTTCGGATCCCTACCGTGGGGCCTCAGATGACGAGGATGACGATGACGCTGAAAGCTCAGAGGATGAAGGAGCAAGCAAGAAGGGTAAGGGCAAAGGCAATGGAGGCAGAAAGCTTCCCAAGGCTGAGGTTCAGGAGGAGCGAGCTTTGGAGGCAGGTGTCTGCGAACCCTATAAACCCTATATAAACCCTAAACCCTATACAAACCCTATAAACCCTATAAACCCTAAACTGTCTTTTGTGTAAAGGACCCAGTCAGTATACTATGTAAAATGGTGTAAATCATAAAAATGTAGCAAGACAAAGGCGGTCATTGAATGAGGTTAAAGTTGAAGTTCTAGACCCTTCCTCCTATAATTACCAAACCTATATAAACCCCAGACCCCCTATAGAAACTCCATACAATCTCAGCAAGGATCTGAATACTAAAGACCACCCAAATTTGTAAAGCCCCAACGAAACCATCTCAATCACTTTTGGCCCCCAGCAGGCTGTCGAAAATGTTGGCGAGGTGTTGGCCAACGTCCTCCGGACCAAGTCAAGGTTGGAGACCACTATGGACAGGCTGCGTGAGATCCGCAACGAGGAATCCAAGAAGTGCGTTGGTTCAAGTATATCCACGGGCTTATAGTAAAGATGGGGATGGTTTCATGGTTGGCGGTGAAGAACTATAAGGTCCTTGACGCGGCTTGACCAGCTGGGCAGCAAACTCATGTCGCAGCATGATTCCCTAGCAGACCTCAAGAGCTATTTCGATGGACATGGTGAACCTACGGAAGAGCACCTCCCCTGCAACTGATCAATTCCATGAAGCCATCCTAGAGATCCTCCCGTTTGTTATGCTAGCCGGTTGCGATGATTGTTGCAGTGTGTGGCTTGTTCAGGAAGATCCAGGAGTTGGAATCCCAAGTGAAGCTGATCGAGACCACGTGCAAAACTTAGAGTACACGCTGCGCTACATCGCCTGGCAATTATCACAGCCCTGTCTTGCAAAGGTGCTCCCGAGCAATCCTAGAGGATGTCAAAATCAAAAAGTTCATGCCTCAGAATTGTATAATGGTAAGCATAGTAAGCAGCTCAAAGAAAAACAGGTTAAATCATTTGTCCTTCGCAGGACTCTGCTGCGTGCGGGCCAGAAGACACCTGCCCAGGCTGGGATTTGGGATTGTGATTGGAGTTGGATGTTAGGGTTATACGGTGTAGCCTTGCAAGGAAAAGCCCACGGCTTCGCCAATGGCAGCAGGAAAGGGCGCCAAGGGTAAAGGAGGAGGCAAGGCAAAGGGCAAAAGTTCTGGCAAGACCAAAGCGAAGAAGAACTGACGAGGCTATCCCTCCATCATTGTGTCATGTCCTGAACGTGTGCCGAACCCCTTACTCAACCCACGTTATCAGAATGAAACCCTAAAAAACTGTAATGCGAGCAGGATTGCTGGCCTTCATCCGCTGGCATCCATCGAGAAGATGCATAGGCGGCACTCAATCCTGCCGTAGGCAGTGCTCTGCTTTCCTAATTGAAGCCGTGGCTGTTAAAAGCTACCTACCAAGTGTTGGGGACGCAGGTGTTGTGTGTAACGGGGCTTTGAACCTCGGCAGTTAATAACTAGCTACCCCACCCTGGGCCTCACCCTGTATGAATAATGCTTGCAGCACGCTCCCCAACATCGAGCTTTCAAGCCAAAGGCTGCTTTAGCTACCGTGCTGGTGTACCAGCGCAGTTCGTGCTACATTGGGGCGCCAAGCACAGAAAAAATGCCATCCGCGAGCAGATCTATCCATCATGATTCCTCCCCAATTCCCGTCACAGTCCTTCGCAGGTACATCGATTCCACGTGCGACCACGGCTGGTCCTGCTGGGGAGCAAATTGCAATGGCAGTTTCAAAGGGGGTATCTTGTTTTGGCAGGGGGTCAATCTGGGAAAACCATTTACTATCCTACCTGGAAGCCCCAAGCATAAGCCTACAACAGCCAACTTTTTTGAGACTCGGGGGGTGCCTTATAAACCCTAGATAACCCTTACAAACCCTAAACCCTGTTAACCCTGTTAACCCTGTAAACCCTATAAATACTCTGAACCCTTTAAAGTTCTTATACTCTGCTATGTGTCCTTGCCTAAGGTAACTCCATCACACGCGTGTGGAATTGCAGCTGGCTTTTGGGAAGAGATTTCGGGCTTTGCGGATACAGAAAATATTCCCAGCAGAGATTTTCTGAAAGAAGCTGCTCGCCTGAAGGAGACTAAGCACGAGCACAAGTTGCATGGGCTTCTCGAGAAGTTCAATCTCACTGCTAGAATCCCCAAAACCACTGTCAGCCTGGGAACAAAATCAACGCTGGATCATCCCGTTTTGAGGCCCAAGGACTTCATATCAACGCTGTCTACAGAGGGCAAGCTAGATTTACTTTTCTGTGGTCACACTGGCGTTGATTACGTTGACTTTTGGAATCTCTGGCGTCTGGTTCAAAGTGATCATCCAATCTTTCGAACCCACAAAACAAGATTGAGCTCTTGCATCCCAATCTGGATGTTCGCGGATGAGGGGACTTCCCAGAAGAAGAAAGCGCTAATGGTATTGGAGTATCAGCCGATCCTGGGGCATGGGAGCAAAAGAGCTGATGATGTCAACATGTCCGGCGTGAGCATTACGACACGATTCCTTTACTCGGTGTTGTCAGGGAAGATCTATGCTGGTAAGAAGAAGCACCAGGAACCATTACACAATCTGGTTAAGCAGTTTGCACAAGATATTGGCAATTCCTACCACGAGCCGATTCCAGTGCATGGCATTTCTTGGACAAATGGGGTGTTCTTGATCTGCCTGGGTCTGAAAGGTGACCTTGCAGCTTTGGTAAAGCTCGGGCAGCTGGAAAGAAATTTTATGAGAGACACAGCTTCTGGCTGTGGCAAAGGAATCTGCCATCTCTGCCGGGCAGGTCAAGAAAACTTCAGTTTTCATGATACAAACTTTGACGCCATGACCAATATGAGGCGAGATGTGCCACTCCCTTGGACCCACGAGCCCAGCCTGATTTCTTTGATCCCGTGCAGCCCGTCCCGGAAGCCGGATTTTTTTAAGTTGGACATCTTCCACATTCTGCTGAAAGGTGTTTTCGGCGATATCGCAGCGAATGCCATAGTGGCTCATGCAGCAATAGCAAAGGGTTTTTTCAAGTGATTTGGATTTCATGTTTCTGGATTTCCCAATGTCTCAAGAGCATGTCTATCCATTCGAGGTGACCTGCTACGACCTTCAGGTTTTGGGAAATTTCTCTTTAGAGAAAGTGCTCAAGTATGTCTATGATGATGCTCGCGACTATTGCCAGACACACCATCTGCAACTTCACATGATTGCTTTGACAGAAGACTTGCTGGGGCTTAAAAGGGCAAGCAGCTTTCCGGCCGCGATTCTTAGCTAAATGTCTACCTTTTCTTTTCGAATACATTCCTATATGGTCAGGGCCTTTGGAGGTGTTGTCCTAAACGCTTAAAATGATTCAGGTCTTGGTTTAAAGGAGCTGATACAGCCACGCTGTGCACCTACTTGGAGCCTATGTTGAAGGGCATCGTTGCGAACTTGGATGCAGACAATCGACACTATGTGGGCCTCATCATCAAAGCGCTCTCAGCAGCCAACAGCTTCATGAAGACGCTATATCATAGCGGACTATGGTTGCTTGATGGTGAAAGAGATGCTGCCATTTTGCATGGCCAGCAGGTTTTACTACACTTCCAGAAACTTGCAGGAATAGCCTTTTCCTGGAACATGACCCGTTGGAAATTTCAGCCGAAATTTCATTTCTATGCGGAAGTGCTGTACTATCTCCAAGCGGAACGCATGGAGGACATACCTTCAATCAACCCGATTTCATTGTCCACACAGATGGACGAAGACTTTGTGGGACGTTTATCGGCAGCGAGCCGTATTGTGTCTTCTAGAACTATACACGTGAGGACCATAGATCGCTACTGTGTACAGTTGCGGATGAGCTGGTAGGCAAGGATCAAGTGTGTGCAATTAAATGATACCCCTGTAGCTTTCATCAATCTAAAGCCTGATGTTCAGCACTCGGTCCTTGCTCCATCAGCAGCATCGTCCGGATCATGCTCAGCACCACCGCGGAAAGGCAAGGAATCTCTGATTTAATGTGGGATTGGGGTGGATGTTCATTGCTTGGGAGGCTTTTATATGTTGCCACCATAGAAACCTCAATGTCTTTATAAGGGACCTCTCATTACTTTATATTATGGGCCCCCCCATAAAAGCCACACTTTCATCAGTGCCTGTTTTCAGCCCGAAAAGCATCAACTTTCAAGCAGTGCCATCTTTTTCGGTCACTAGGATTTCCAGGTA